CGACGTCGCGGTGGGGCGGCGGGCGGCGGCGGAGCTTGCCGAGGCGGTCCCCAGGCTGCTGCGCCGCAGCTTGAAGGGCTCAGAGTACGCCAAGTGTACGAACTGCGTGTCGGTGCTGCGACAGCACTGTGTCGCGCAGAACGAGGCGGCCTTCTTTAACGGTTTCCTGCTGCGGCTGATGCTCATGGCACAGGCGCTGGGCCACGAGGCGTTCTGGCACGGCGGCGTCGTGGCACACGGCATCCATCCCATTACGCGACGAGAGTGTGCCAGCAGCACGCTTGAGGACAAAGAAGCCGCCCGTCTGTTTCTGGAGCAAGACCGCAGCCTCCCGACCCTGCTGCTGAACGGCCCCGCGCCAGAAAACCTGTTAAACATGGCCATCTAAGAATACATCTTTTCACTTGTTATTGTTATCATTTGCTTGCTTTGTTACTGATGGCCCCTTGGAGTTAACCAAAAGGTGGAATGAGGGCGTGCGTGTGACGTGTGACGGGCGGAAAGACGGCAGGACGTCGTTGTTTCTCTTGTTTGCTGCTCCGCCATCAGACACTCTTTCTCCCGGGTTTGGCAGATTGTGCTGTGGCTCTATTCCAAGCAAACGAAGGAGAACACCAACCAAAAAAAAAAAGGGAACAACAAAAACAAGGCACATGAGTGAGGCGGAGGCACACTTGTTCGAGCTGTTGGACAAGGCCGTGATGGAGTGGGGCACCGTCCCGGTGTCGTCCCTGCAGGAGGCGTGCGTGCAGGTGCAGAACTTGTCGTCACGCCTCACCGGTCAGCGGCGCTGCCAACTGTACGAGAGTCTGCTGTTCGACACGCCGCCAAGGAGTGTCGTGGACACGTTCCAGCAGTTCGCCGAGAATGCAGGTGACATCCACAAGACGGTGGCGGCGAGGCTCAAGGAAGTCTTCTGCGACGACGACTCGATCAGTGACGCCGAGCTGCAGGGGTTCGCCTACCACTTTGAGGCTGAGACGGGGTGCTTCTTTGATGAGGAGACAACGGCTGTGACGCTCGCGCTCGCAACAATGTTGGTCGCCGCAGAGTTGCCGCCGGGTGTGACGAAGCTGCGCCGCCTCTACCAACTGCTGGACGCGCTGCGCAAGGACTTCATGGTGCCGAGTGCCTCGCGCGCCTTTGACGGTTCCCTCGTGACGCTCTTCTGCCTGCTGCTGCAGTACCACGACCCACAGCTCTCGCTCCATCTCGACCAGCACCAGGTGAACATAGGCGTCTTCCTGCTGGACTGGGTGCGGCGGCTTTTCGTCGTGGACGGCCGCTACGGTGACGCTCTGGGGGTGTGGGACTGGATGCTTATCGTCGGCGACCCTACGCTGACGGTGTACCTCGCTCTATCGTACCTCATCGCCCACCGTAAGCGCTTCCTCGCGCTGCAGACATGCGAAGAGCTGAAGAAGTCACTGAAGTCGCTTGTCTTTGTGCTGCCAGCGGGAAAGGATGACGCTGTGGACCCCGCGCTACATGACGGCCGGCCCGTCTCGTTTGTGTCGCTGAAATCCGGCAAGTCGCTTGCGCAGAATGCCGACATCGCTTACCGCAACACGCCTCGCACAACGCAGATCGTGATTGACCGCCTGCTGTACCCGGAGAAGGGCGGCATCAGCAGAAGCCCGGACTCGTTGGCTCAGTACTACGCATCCCACCCAGCCCTCCCACTGGAGCGCCTCGACTTTGCCGAGGCGTTTGCCGTGAAGGCGGTGGAGCAGACCGACACTGCGTCGCTCAGCTACATCGTCGTGGACTGCCGCGCGCGTGACAGCTTTCTGTACGCGCACCTGCCGACGGCGCTACACATCGGTGACGACATCGGTTTCGACAGCGAGAAGTTTGACAAGGTGGTTGAGATGCTGCGCGACGTGTGTGGGGCTCATCTTTGCATCTTTGGCACCGGTCGGCGGATCGTGGAGGAGTTAAACCTGCTCAAGATGCTGGCGCTGCATTTTGTGCAGTGTGGCTTCCCGTATGTCAGCATCGGCGGCTTCCGCACCATTGTCCCGCTCATCGAGGCGCAGTCGGTGACCATCAGGCACTCCCGCGCCAAGGACCCAAAGTGGGGAGACGTGAGTGAATCCGTGGCAACACTCAAAAACAATCTGGCGGAGCTTCTGCCGCATCTCGAGTTCGACAAGCAAGAGGCGCGACGCAAAGCGGAGGAACTCAGCAACAAGGCAAAGGTTGGTGTACTGGCCGCCAAGACGTGGGGATTGAATATCATGCAACGCGTGAGTGAGAGACTGGCACCCGGCAGCGCAGCCCCTCCACCCGCACCCCCTACAGCACACAAAGGCGGCAATCTCGGTGCGACTACTACTCCCACCAGTAGTAGCCCTGGCCATACTGATACCGGTAGGGGTGGGAGCACCGCTGCTGGGGGTAGTGGTGATGGTAATGTTGATAGTTCCAGTGGTGGTCGAAACGATAGCAATAATACCAAGAGCGCAGACGGCGGCACATTACATCGCTCCGAGAACGCCGTACGTGCAACCCACACCTTCTCACTCGGCGTTGACGAGGATGAGGAGGATGACTTTGGTCTTATCACGAGCGTGCCGGTATACACTGGCACCGCCTCTGCTTGCCATGATGGAGAGTCGCTCGTGAAGGGGACCGTCGTGCCGGAACCGTTGCCTCCTCCTGTCACTACTACTACTACTACTACTATTACTACTACTACGGGGACCACTGGTGTTGACGCGGTGCCTACTGGTACAGTGAATACTACCACCTCACCAGCTAAAGACATCATGACAGAGATCGATGAGGAGTTCGACAAGCTTTTTGGCGACTCTGAGTCGCCATCACCTACAGGCCCTTCCGCAGAAACAGGCGAGGCGAAAAACAGTGATGAAACCGCTGCTCCTGCCGCCACCGCCGCCACCGCCGCCGACGATGATGACGACAAAAAGGAGAAGGCCTAAGTTGGTTCGCTTGCGAATGTAGTACGGGGATACTTCCCTTTTGCTTTTTTGTTTGTTTCTTCGTTCTTTGGAGTCTCTCTGTTTACAACACCGACCCCTTTCTTTTTTTATTTTAGAGGATTGTTGGTGCTTCTGATGCTTTGTTGTTGTTTATCTGACGAGCGAGAGATGTCTCATCACCGCCTCTGATCCCATGCAGCAGACGACCCACAGATAAGATATATACACAGAAACACACATACACACATACACGAGGATGAAGGCTGACCGTCTCTTGACACTGACGGCGCTTGTCGTGATGGGCATCATGTGCACTTTGCCCTTCATCAACTCGAAGGCGGGCGGTGTGCGGGAGCCGAAGACACGTGGGCGGAGCCCCGGCTTCACGACGAATTATGCCTCCGCGTACTTGGGGGCCACGCTGACAGATTTCAGCCACGCATGCAAGGGCGCATCCTCTGTGCTCAATGACGCCACGGAAAAGTACATGATCTGCTCATGTGAGGCACGCCGGAAATTCTTTACTGTCCAGCTCATTCGCGAGATCGAAGTTCGCATCATAACGCTAGTCAACTTGGAGCATTTCAGCTCGAGTGTGAAGAACTTCACGCTACTCGGCAGCAAGAAGTACCCCACAAGCGAGTGGCGTGTGCTGGGGAACTTGGAGGCGAACCCGTGGCGTGGAACGCAGCACTTCGATGTGGCCCCTCAGGAGCCTGTGCGGTTCCTGCGCTTTCTCTGGGCCACCTCGCACAGCGACGACTCGTGGTGCACGCTGACGACGTTCAAGGCGTACGGTGTCGATGTGCTGGAGACCCTGACGGAGGACTACGTCAGTGACACGGAAGAGTCTCCGTACCAGCCGCCAGAAATACCGCTGCCGGCGCTGCCAACAACAGTAACACCGTCTGAGCAGGCTGGCGCGGATACCCACACCGCGACATCCGCGATGGGACTGTGTTCTCCAACGCATGAAACGAAACCTCGAGATGTTAAGACACCGTCAAGGTCGGTTGATCAGGTAGAAGCTCTCTTTACTAGCAGCAATAGTGGGTGTGGCGGTAGCAGTAGCAACAGCAGCAGCAGCAGCAGCACTAATGGTAGCGGCAGTGGCAGTGGCAGCAGCAGCAGCAGCAGCAGCAGCAGTGGCAGTAGCAGCAGTGGCAGTAGCAGTAGCAGCAGAAGCTGCGGCGGTGGTGGAGAATCCTTGAGCTACTATTGTGACTATGGTGGAGTGCTTGACAACGCCTCTTTGACATGCTTGCCGCATGAACGCCAAGCATTTCTTGCCCGCTCGTATTGCACGTGTCCTTCCAGAACAGTGATATCCGCCAAGACGACGCTTCCGTCCAAGCCGTTCCAGGGCGGGGCAGCGTTGCAAATTCTCACACAGATGAGCAAGCAACTCAAGGCAATGCAACAGGAGCTGGAAGAATCCCAAATGCGGCAGCGGAAGATGCAGGAGAGACTAAATCTCACTGAGGCGACACTCCGTTACTTTGGAACGCATTTTCGAGATTCGTCGCGGTCTGCGGGCGACTACCGTGACAGACTGCTAGAAATAAAGAAAGAGCTGGATGTGATGAAGTCCAGGCTCTCGCTTCGACTCGAAGCGGGAGGGCACAGCAGCAGCGGTGATGCCATACTCTGGGTCTGGGTGCTATGCTCAAATGTGCTGGCGACGGTGGCTGTTGCCGCTGTATGCTTTGGTAATCGCCCAAATCTTCCTGGAAGAACACAACGCCTCTCTGTCCTTGGCTCGCCACGGTAGCAGCGCCTCACTGCTTATTCCCCAGTGTTATAATCACCTTATTGTGGGCGTCGGTAGGAGTCCACAAAGCTATGCGTCTGTGTAGGTGTGTTTGGGGTTTCTCCCTGGTCGTTTTGATAGTTGCCGTCTCATCCTTTTTCATTCTATTGATCAGTAATCAGGGAGGTGAATAAAAACGCGGCACTTATTGGGGGCGAGGGGGGAAACTCCGCGCCGCGCTGAGGGTCTGAACACAAGACTTCACAAGGAGGTTGCTACCTGTACACTTGTCCACCACTGCCTTTCCCCACGCACCAGATGCAGCAGAAGGTGCTTATCGTCACACCCATTGCTCTCTTCGAGGTTGCAGATGGCAAGACCATCGAGCGGGGGAATTGCGCCTGCGCTGTCGTTGCACTCCCAGCGGAGCGACCAAGGTACAGTCTAGTCTGCTACAATGACCGTCGTGAGACGCTGTGTGTCGCGTCCCTGTCATCGAGCAATGAGCACAGCATACAGTTTGAACTGCAGGTGAGCATGTACGCGAGCTTCCGCGACAGCGCAGGGAAGCGCTGGAGTTGCATGTTTCTTAAGAGCTCGCAAGTGGACGCGTTCCTTGCAGTGCTCGGCATTGCGCTCTACGCCCTCGCGGGACAACCGCCGCACACCACTGTCATCAGCGATTTCGCGCCACCGGTCGGCGAAGTGCGGGTGGGGCTGCAGCACCGCGTGAAGGTGCGGTACGCCGCCTTTGCCATTCGCAAGGGTGAGGTTCTGCAGCTCGGGGAGCTGCTCGAGACGAACGGAGATCGCCCGTACAACTTCCAGCCGGTCCAGTCGGTGATGGCGCTCCACCCTGAGGCCAAGGGCTTCGAGTCCAGTGTACTCGGTATGATGGAGGACACATGGAGGACCGTTGTCGTGCCGGCGACGCTGCCGCGCGCTGGGCGTCACCTTTACGGCGACGATAGCGTTGCTTTTGTAATACAGGTCGTCCGCATTCTCCACGATGATGCTCCAATGACAGACAGCACAAAAGTTCCAGCAGTCTTCGCAAATGACCCCAACGGCAGCGCGCTCGTCCCCGCTGCTGTTGCTCCTGTTTCTTCAATGCAATCGGCAGATGCCAATGGTACAAAAATTGTTGTGCTACACACTGAGCGACGAGAGCCGGCAGTTGGCAGTGACGGTTTACATGTTCACGCTAGTGTTGCAGGCTCAGAGGGTAGTGGCGTGCCTGCCGAGCATATGTCGCTGATACAGAAAATTGGTGCGCAGGTTAATAACGTCACGACGGAGGCGCGAGATGTACGCGATGTGGCAGTGAGCGTCGCTGGGGTGTGGAGGCAGAGTGTCAACCAACCTCATCCATCGGTGTTGACGAACGCGGCCTTGGAGCAGGCCGTGAAACAGCTTATTATGGATAACGAGGGTGTGATGGAGGACATTGCCCGCCGCGATGAGTTAATTCGCGCGCTCGATCAGCGAAACAGGGAGTTGCAGAAGCGTGTAGATTCAGCTGCAATGGTGTCGCAGCAGCTCTTGGACGAGAAGAATGATTCCGTGCGCAGCGCATCGGACACTAAGCTGGAAAAGGAACGCGTCATTATGAAGCTACAGGAGCAGACTAATCAGGCCGCATTAGAGCGTGACGACACCCAACGCCATCTCCAAAGCGTCAAGAAGCTACTCGAGGTCTCCGACGAGGAACTTCGCCAGATACGCAGTAAGGCTGACGTGCACCATATACAGGCGCAGAGCATCGTGACGAAGCTGGATACCGTCCAGGATGCCTTGGCTGAGGAGCGCTCGCGCCGAAAAGGCCTGGAGGCGAAGGTGATGGCTCTACAGGAGGAGATTAGTAACACTGAGGCGGATCTGCACTTAAAGACCGCGCAGCTGGATGATATCCGCCGTATGGCCGATATGGAGCGTGCACACCATGCGCAGATAATGGAGGATGAGCGCCAGCGCCGTGGCTTCGAGGCCCAGCAACTGCGCACTGAGATTATAACAGAGCTGCAGTCCCGGGAAAAAAAGTTTCAGGCAGACCGTGCGCGGGTGGCGGAGGACAACTTCAAGCGTGGCCAGGCAGAGGGCAAAGAGATCGGCAAGCGCGAGGCACGCATCGACGTCGAGACGCAGATGGGGGAGCTGCGACTCGACGCGCAGCGTGCCCTGACGGAGCTGGATGCGTCCAAGACAGAGCTTCGTCGCGCCACGGAGACTGGTATGGCGCAGAACCGCACCCTTAGCGCAAAGGTGGTCGAGCTGAAAAGGCAGATGTACGAGGAAACGCGGAAGCGAGTGAGGCTGGAGTTCCACTTGCTCGGCGTGCGCACAAAGGTGCGGTGCGCGCAGGACAGCGTCATGGCGGCTTTCACATCCGCCGCGTACAGGCTGCGTCGGCCGGCAGAGGCGGCCGACCTGCTGCAGCTGCTGGAAACGCTAAGGAAGCGGCAAGCGTTAGACTTCAATTTCGAGGACCGCGCGCACACGGCGGAGGAGGCCGACGCAAGGAAGCGCCGCCTTAATTGGACTGAGGAGGAGATGACAGCTCGGTACATCAGTGGATTGGAGAATATTTATTCTGCATGGGCAGAACCGCTGCTTGTGGAGCATGAAAAGACGGTGGCGGGAGTGCGACGGTTGTGGCTCGAACGTGATGGTGTTTCCCACTACGAGCTTGACGCCGCAGAGACGCGGGGCCGCTTCGAGATTGGACAGCAGCTAGAGACGTTCTTCGATGATGCTAAGAACTTTTTCGAGGAACAAATGAGACAACGGCATGGACTCCTCATTGAGGCGGAGCGTAACTGCGCGGATCTGCTGGCGGAATACAGCGAGATTCTCAGTGCATTTAACACGTGGCGAATGGGTGAGATGCAGGCGCAGCAGCAACTGGATGAGGCGTGTATGGTGGCGCGTGTCGCCGTTGAGGAGGAAGAAGCGTATGCGTTTCGCTGTCTCTTGCGGGAGGCGCTGGCGGGAATGACGGCGGTGGATCAGATCGCCCTCATGGAGATGGAGGAAGAGGCGAGGGCCGCGATTGATGCGGATCAGTATGCAGAGTTCAGTGGGCTTCTCTTTGACTGCAGGATGGGACTAGAGCCGCTGGTTCGCACTGCTGCAGCTGCTGCTGAGCAACGCATATGCATGACGGAGGAGGCGGAGTCGCGTACCTCCATCATGGCCGAAGAGGAGCATGAAATCGGCGTTATTTTCAGGGAGCAAGTGCCACCACCATTGCTACAACACCGGCAAGACGAGCATCCAAAGGCATCAGCAACACTATCCCTGCCACCACCGCAAGCGGTTCCTGTCGATGACGGAACGGATGCAAGAAGTTCCGGTGATGCTCCTACAGTTCCTGCTGGGCCGGAAGGCGGAGCAGCGCCTGTTGGGCAAGAGCCGCAGCTGCAGGAGCAGCGGGCGCGAAGCGGTCGCATCGAGCAGATTCGTGTAGACTCTGACAACAAAGACATCAGCGGTAATAATAGTTCCTCCGATAGGCCTCCTGTTGCTTCTGTAGCGAATATTCCCACACGCTCTAAAGTACCGCCACCACCACTACCAACATCGACAACACGGCCTGCACTCTTTGACTCTTCCACCGAAGACGACAGCGACCATGCCTTTAAGCCGAAACCATTGTTACAGGGGAGCGCCGCTCTCAGGCGTATGCTTCCACCGAAGTCGAAACTTTTTGACAGCAGTGATAGCGACTAGTGACAAGAGAACGAAAGAAGAGGACGAGAAGGAAGATAAGATGGACGAACAACGGCACCACAACTGTCCCGGAAAGGGAAGCCAAATATGAATGCTTAAGAGTGAGTGTATATGCGTGTGAGATTGTTTTTGGTTTGCTTTGGGGAGAAATTGCTGGTTGATATATAGTACTGTGTCGTGAAGTGTGAAGGGCGAAGTCATGCAGATGCGCACCGGTGTGTATCTGTCTTCATATCTCTATGCACGTGCAAGCGAGGTGATTCTCACCTTCCTAATATGCATTGCCATTCTTTACTTCTTCTTCTTTTGCCCACCCAAACAACAACAACAACAACAATGACGTAAAGCAAAGGCCAATTGCCGCACATTCTGTCTATGCAGTATCTGTATGATGATATTATACCGCCGTTTCGTTTTTTCACGAAGATCGTCATGCGGTGCGTGAACGATGCTCTGGACGCGACAAATAAACCACATTACCAGGAGCAGGGCCTGGAGGAGGCGTCCTGTGGAAGCAGCAACATCACTAATGATAACAGTGGACTTAGTTGTAATACCACAATCGACTCTCCACCTGTTATTGCGATTCCTGCCGGTGTTGTGTTGCGCAGCACGATCAGCAGCCAGCCATCCGAGTCCGCCAGTGTGAGGAGAAGCTCGGCGGGCCGGAAGGTGCTCACCGCCTTTTGTTTTGAGCATAGCGTGATTCTCTCCGGCTTTGCAGATGGTCGTGTCACGATNGGCGGGCCGGAAGGTGCTCACCGCCTTTTGTTTTGAGCATAGCGTGATTCTCTCCGGCTTTGCAGATGGTCGTGTCACGATGGCGTACATCAGCCAGCGTGAGGAAGGGTTGCTTGAGCACATTGAGATTCCGTCGTTTGCGCCAAACGTTGGACACGTGACATCTCTGAGTTGTGCGCCGTACTCGGGGACGCAGTGGGCAGTGACGGTTGGTTACAGTAAGGCTGTGTACCTCACCATGGTGACGGCAAAGTCTGGCAGTTACTACTCTGTGCCCCCGAGGAAAAGGATGCAGCAGCGAATTGTTGAGATTAACACCACCGAGTGGGCTGCTGGTGGCCATGTGAGTTCCCTGCAGCTCTCCCCCTCCCTGGCACACCTCGCCATGGGTTTCAATGACGATGCGTTAGTGATCATCGCGAAGCTCCCATCGCTGGAGGTGCAGCGAGGTGCGCAGAGTGACACACCCGAGCGGTCTACTTTAGGGTTGTCACACCGCGTGGTGGAAGACGGCTCCCTTACCAGGGGCCGCCACGGCCGCGTGTTCTTCATTCCAGAGTCGCCACAGTGGCGGCTGCAGGCCGCCTTTTCATCGAGCACCGGATCCGGCACAACGGAGTCGATGTATGGCCAACACTCCCCACTCTGCCTGCTGGTGTGGACTGAAAGCAACAACTACGCTCGATGCCCACTGAACAACATCAGCAGCAGCGCCCTGGAGTGGCTGCATGCAGCTCCCAGGACGGAATCGCCCTCTGCTGACTCCATGGGAAAGAAGCAGGCAACGGCGGTAGCTGCCGCCGCTGCTCTCGCGGCGCAGAGAGTGCGAACCAAGTCGGATGCAGGAGCTTCGAAAAGGAAAACAATGGATGCGGCACAGACGGTGGTGGCAACTCCTGCGAAACTGACACCATTTAAGGGTGTCTACAGGGGCGTGCTGCCCGACAGGATTGTCACGGCATCCGTGGCGTCTGCGAACGGCAGTGTTGTGGCAGTAGGGTGCAACGGCGGTCTGGTCTACCTTCTGGACGGGCATGGCATCACGTCGGTAGTGTCCGTCATGCCGGTCCCAGCGAGGGACCCGCTGCACTTGACGACTCTCTACCCGGTCACGGGTGCGCCCCGTAGCGCGACGCTGCACGCCGTGACGGCAGTGCTGGGGGCCGGAGAGCGTGTAATGCTGGTGCACGCGCGCAGCACGTCGGGCGCGGCCTTAACCGAATGTGCAAAGGTGAGCTGCCTGCAGGACGTGGTGGGCCTGCGCGCGGTTCTTGCGCTGGGGGAGCTGCCACTCGCGCTGGTCTTCTGCGACCACGGGGTGTACCTCTGGGACGTGCATTATAACTGCGTGGTGACCTCCCTCACCGGCCTGCCACCGCTGGAGCCATTTGCTCTGTACGAATTGGCGACCCGCGAGACCGGCAGCGGTGCGCCGCGTCTCAACGGAACCATGAAGCATCAGTGTGACGCGTACTTGCCGTCCTGCACGGATGTGGCTGTTTTCTGGCGCACCAAAGACGGTGCTGTTGCACGGTTGCTGCTGCAGGACCTATTGCAGTGCGTGTACCCCCTACTCGGCACGTACTTCCCGGGCCTCCCGCTGTGCTCGCTGGCGCGGATTCTTGAGTGCGTGCCGCCCGCACACCGCTACGTGGCGGAGCGTTTGGCGGCTGCTGAGGTGCCCACCATGCGCCAGCTCGGCGGGAGCGATGACCTCCTCGCTGGGATGGCTGCTTCCATGTCAACAACAGGAGCCTCGCTTCGCTCCGGAAGAGTGTCGAAG